TGGACTCGACGCGTCGAGCCAAGGGCTCGACACGTCGAAATTTTCCAGTAGCTAATTAATTCGCGCACAGGAAGTCTCGACGCGTCGAGAAAATTCTCGACGCGTCGAATATGCGTCTGTTTCTGGGATAAAAATAGACGCCTAAAGTGGCGCGGATAAAAAAAACAGACGCTTAAAGTGGCGCAGCTGGGCAAAATTCAATACAAGCGCGAGATCTCTTTTCCTAATATCAATTGCGCGGATTTCAAGGCTCATATCTCCATATTAAAAGTTAGCAATTCAAGGAATCTTCCAAATTCTAAATATCATTAAAGACGACAATTTCTTTATTTAAATATAGGAATTAGAATTTGAGTCCAATTTGGTACAAGATTCCTATTTCATCTCAACTTTGTACCCACTATAAAATCCCTCCTTCCTCAACCCTAATAAGAGACACCGAGAGATTTTGAGAGTTCTTTGTAGACAAGAAAGAGAGAAATCGAGAGGCTCAAGTCGTCTTTGGAAGCAAGGAGGAAGCCAGGGAGATTTGGGAGAATCGCTTGGTTAATTCTTGTACTCTTCTGATGATTTGTAATCCTTTATTCATATTTGCTATGTATAATTTAGCCATGCTCGGCTAAATTCCTTAGGGATTTTTGGGTGAATTTGTTTATGAACCTATGTGCCTAGTTCGTTAATTTCTTAATATATTTATGTTTGGTTTTATGATTTGTGTTGCAATCTTGTTTTAATCTGTTGTTGTTGGTGGTTAAAGGCCTAAATTACTAGCTTCACAGCCATGTTTGTGTCACCAATGGGAATTGGGGCATAAATTACGGCACACACGATTGCACCTAATGGTTGGTCCTTGGGAAAGGGGAACTTATTAGGGGAAGTTTATTCTAGATTATTGCTCATCGGGAGATGGTAGTAATTAGGAATAATTGAATGCTGATCTTTGATATTATTGGGTGTTTAAGCCATGTGAGTGGAAATTCACTAGGAATAGAGATTACGGGAGTAATTCGATTCCACCTTGCATTCCCATACAAATCTTAATTCCAAACCAAATATTACAAACGTTAATTGGCACTAGGTGATTAAACATTGTGATCCCAAGAATCCTATTTTGCTCTATTGTCTACAAAACCTTGCTACTTATTTTATCCTGCTTGTTATTTTATGCAATCAATCAACCTTCAAGTTTTGTTCGGACTAGTTGCATATGAGTAACCTAGTAGCTAGTGATTAGTACACCACCTCTCTGTGGTTCGACAACCCGAATACTCCGGATATTATTTGTTTGCCCCAAACTACAGCAATCAATATTACATATAATTAATCACAATTTATGCCTAAACTTTATGTGATTTGGAAAAACTTGATATACAATTTTAATTAAATTAAGGATGATGTGGCTACTCCTTAACTAATTAAATTTGTATTATCACATCGGCATAGATTTAACAAAACAAACTATGCACTTAACATGATAAGCAATTACCGAGTATACTCCCAGGAAAGTTGGTCGAGATGAACTCGGTTAAATACCAACTCCTTAGACAGAGTAGGATTCCAAGGGAACTAGTAGCATATTGGCTATTCTAGTTTTCTTCCCAAGAAATTTTCCCCGGTTCATGCATTCTCATATTATAGCATAACGTTTTGAAGGGTTGATTCAAAAATTTGATGTTCACGGTTTGGAAAAAGACTTTAAGAATAGGTGAACATTTGATCTTAATGTGCTAACCTTCAGGCACTATCATAGTCGTACTAAATCTTATGTACTTTTATAACCGCAATATGCTAAAGTCCAACTTCTAAGGTATTCAACAAACTCCTAAAAGGCACTACCAAAGTCCAAGTACTAAGGAGTTTAAGAAATTCCTAAAATATGCATTTCTAACGCATAAAATAAATCGCATAATTGAAATAAATTAGAATTATGCTAATTGGAAATAATATGCATATTACAAAAGACAAACTCATATTAAACAAATAAATTGCACAAACATTATAGCAATTTAATACATGAGTTTACAAAATAATAAAATTCAAATTTCAGGCCCAAACAAATTTAAACAATTATGTATTAAAACAATTAAAGATTAATTATTTAGATAATCAAGCCCAAACCAAATTGATACCCATCAGCCCAAAACTCAATTAAACAATGAATAGCTTAACCTAGCTTCTGATCTCCATCAAACTTCCGCAGCCTCAGAAAAAAAAAAAATCAGATAAACAGATGCGAAGCAGATAGATCGGACGAGAGAGAGATCGAACAGGGGAAAAGAGATCGTTCTCCCATTGATTGCTCATCACCACTCTCCGCCGCTCGAGGTCACCGGACAAGCCGGCACTCTCCGCCGTTTGCCGGAAAGAGTAGCAGGGAGAACGGTCGCCGGGCAAGCCAGCTCCGCCACTGCCGCCGCTCACCGCCACCGGGAACCAGCGACACCGCCACCGGCCAGTCCTCTATGCCGGTTACCGGAGCCAGAAGGCGCACTGACGACCATCTGAAACCGTTACACGGTCGTCGGCCGGAGTTCGAAAACGGTGAACCGAATGCGAAAAGCAACAGGTTCAAACCACCTTTTTTTTTTTTAATATTTCGAAAATAATATATGTATATTTCGAAAATTTTCATGTATATATATACATATATGAAATCCAGATACATATATATTAATATACACACTGTAAGTTTTTTTTTTTTTTTTTTTTTTTACATTTCGAAAAAAAAAAAAAAACAGTGTACATATACATGTTATGTATCCATATATATATATATATATATATATATATATATATATATATATATATATATATATATATTCTTTTTACACACATACGACATTTGAGTTTTCCCGATTCATATAAATCAAAAACATATATACAAATGTTCACATGCATATTCACAAATATGTATATAATTACTGGAAAGATGTAATCAACATTATATGAATATGCATCAATATTTGCTCTATTTTTTCTTTGCTAAAACATAGGCAGTTGAACAACTAGGCAGAGATAAAATAGGCTCTGATACCAAATGTAAGAAATAATAGGCACATATACATTTATATGACATTGTATATGTGATAATAAGGACTACCCTCCAGCCATAGTTGTTTACTTGTTTTGCCTTTGTGTTGTTGTATAATGCCTTAGTTGAATTTCTGCAGTGATTTGGGCAGAGTGACTCCCACTTGTCTCAAGTATAATAGGATGGTGTATATTTTGTCAGTATATTGACAGTACTTGAGTAGTGGGAGGACCTCACTTATATAGCCTATCTAACCATCAATATAGGCTTTGTAACAGTTGTAACGGTAACCGTTACAACTGTTACCATTAGCACTCTTTAATGGCTATTAAGGACATAACAAATCTTGCACCAATAATGGTAAGATGTTACATCAGATCCCTGTGTTCTCTTGAGTGATCAGTCACTGTTGTTAGTTTTGTTCGAATGATATTCACGAGGGGGGTCCAGTGGGGACTCACCTCTCCGTATGCAGTCACGTTCCAAGACTTCCAGGAGGTGCTCAGTGGCCTCCACTACAGTGGGAGGAAGTTCGACAGGTTGGGTTTGTGAGACGCCAGCGACCGGTGAGCGTGTGCTCGGATGAATTGTCCCCTCTTCTCGAGGACTTTCCAGGTTGACACCTCCTTTCGGGGGCACTGACCGACCGGACAACATGCGAGAGGTAGGCTGATTGAGGGTTTCTCGTAGATCCCGAACGGACCAGCCAGTGCAGGTGTTATAGCGAGTGCTCCCCATGATTAGGGTTTCGGTCGTGTGCTTTAGGTTTGAGAGACGAACGTAAACTTTTCGTATCGGTCCCCACGAACGGCGCCAATGTTGGTTTTATGACTTTTGGGTAGTCAACGGTAGGCCAACACTACCGTTAGAATAACGAGAATATAGGCAAAATATAGGGAAAATATATGGAGAAAATATAGGAACTTTGTATTGATGAGTATTGCTGGTGAATAATGAAAGTCCTCCCCTCTTCTCTGTGTGAGAGGTCTATTTATACATATTTTGGGCCTAGAGCCCTACAAGGAATAAGAATTCTAGACTGCCTCATATTGGGAGTCTTAGTTACATAATAAAACTTAATTCATTATACTAGAAATAATGAGTCCAATTCTAATTATATTGGGAATAACAGGTCTAATCTTTGACACACTCTTGAGTTGTTTCGTATCGTATATCTTTCTTGGGCTTCTTTGATCTATTTGCTTTCATAGGTCAGTCCATGTGGCCCAGGCCTAGTATACCATCCATCAAATATCTATTGAAATTTTTACCCAATTTAAGATTATCTCCTTGTTTTAATTGATTGCTTCTTTAATTTGCATATGTTCAAGATGTTTATAGATTATGGCGAGGACAAATAGAATTAGTGGACTATCATATGGTCTCGATCGGTTTGATGACTTCAGTCATATGAATATGAGTACATTTTGCTGACTTGAATATTTTCTTGCCGCACACGGAAGATGTTGCATCTTTTTTAAGCCTTTGTTGAAGTAAAAAAATGCCCCTTGCTTTTTACCAAACGTCACTTCACTTTGTTTTTGAACGTGTTGACTTTGATTCTAGTGATTTTCTAGATCTACTTGGTAACTTGGTAGTTTAGCAACCATAGATTGTTAATTAATCTGATCAATTCGGCCTTTTTCTTCCAGCTTGGATTTACATTTGTTCATACTCATGTTTTGAATGCTTATAATATTTAGGTATATTAGCCCACCTTTTTTTTTTTCTGGACTATTATTTATTTAAAAATATTCTTTTAAGAATTGATCAACTTGTTGGGAAAAACAGGATGTGTGTGATGGCAATTGCACTAGTATTATCACACTTGATGCTCACTTCTCGTGCATTTATGCCATAATCCTTTAACTGATGAGTCATCCACAGAATTTGGGCACAGCAACTTCCAGCGGATATATATTCGGCATCAGCCGTGCTGGTAGCAATGGAGTGTTGTTTTTTACTAAAACAAGACACAAGTCTTCCCCCTAGGAACTGGCAGGTTCCTGAGGTGCTTTTCCGATCTATTCGGCATCCAGCAAAGTCAGCATTCGAATAGCCAACTAGATCGAAAGATCCTTCTTTCGGGTACCAAAGTCCAACGCTTTGTGTCCCCTTAAGGTATCTCAAGATCTTTTTGGTTGCACTTAAATGACTTTCTTTTGGTTTAGCTTGAAATCTGGCGCATACCCCAACAGCAAACGAAATGTCAGGTATGCTTGCTGTTAGGTATAGGAGTGATCCGATAATCCAACGAAAATTCTTTTGGTCCACATCTTTTCCTTCATTATCAATATCCATTCTAAGAGATGTGCTCATATGGATCTCGACGGATGTTTTTCCATCAATGCCAAACTTTCGGATTAGATCCTTAGTGTATTTGGCTTGACTGATAAAAATTCCATCTGAGCATTGCTTTACTTGCAATCCCAGAAAGTAGTTTAGTTCTCCCTTCATGCTCATTTCAAACTTGCCTTGCATGAGAGTTGAGAACCTTTCACGAGAGTTGAGAACCTTTCACATAGAACAGGATTCGTGCTCCCGAAAATGATATCATCAACATAGATTTGTACCAGAAGTATACGATCGTTATCTTTGATACGAAAGAGCGTTTTGTCTACGGCTCCTTTCGTGAAACCATAGTTGATAAGAAAATCTGAGAGTGTATCATACCAAGCTCGTGGAGCTTTCTTTAATCCATATAGTGCCTTTTTGAGATGGTACACTTTTTCTTGTCCACAGTCAACTGCAAATCCAGGCGGTTGCTCAACATATACTTCTTCTTCAAGAAGTCCATTTAGGAAAGCAATTTTGACATCCATTTGATAAACTTTGAAGTCTTTGTAGGCTGCATATGCAAGAGATATTCGTATAGCTTCAAGTCGTGCAACGGGGGCGAAGGTTTCATAAAAATCGATTCCTACTTCTTGATAGTATCCTTTAGCAACAAGACGAGCTTTGTTCCTAACAATGATTCCATCTTCACTCATTTTGTTTCTAAAGACCCATTTGGTTCCAATGACATTTTGATGTGTTGGTCTCAAGACAAGTTCTCATACATCATTTCGTTCAAATTGATGAAGCTCTTCTTGAATGGCTATTACCCAGTCAGGATCATTTAAAGCTTCTTCTATGGATTTTGGTTCCATTTGTGATAGGAAACAAGCCATCATGTTTTCATGCAGAGATGCTCTTGTTCTTACTCCTTCTTGAATGTTTCCAATTACTTGATCAGGAGGATGATCTCTTAACCATCTAAGATCAGGTTCAAGTGTATTTTGCTGATTTTGTACATCCATTTCAGGGATATAGGGTAATTGAGCATAGATCATAGGTTCAGATGGTGCTTGAATATTCGGAATATTTTATTGTACTCCATTATTATCTTGAGCTGTAGCTTCGGGTTCAGAAATCTTCAACTGATATTTCGTGTATGAGGTTAAGATGTCTTCGTCATCTGAGACTTCTTCTTCATTTAATTCACTATATTATATATGTGTGTAATCCTTTTGTAAGATGAAGCCATGGAAATGAAATGATATAACTCCCTTCTCTCCTTCTCTATAACTTTTCTTTCTACTACCTTTGATCAATGAGTTATTCTTTGAGCAATGGCTAATGGGTTACAACACGTTATTAGCACGCTCAACTCCGGTGAACGGTATGCTAATTTTTTTTATCATCCCTTGTGGATATGATTATTGGTTATATGTCTTTGATTCCCTCTGAAGATATTGTTTTGTATGATACATATTTCTGCGGATCTGTGGATGATTTTATGTGTATATTTTTTAAAAATATTTTGTATACAAAATAATATGAATTCTGTATAATTTTTTTTTCTTTCTCGTAAAACTATTTTGACATATACAATTGTTTTAACAAAAAGAGAAAAATGGAATGCCTATATATTTATATATTGTTCTAGAATCCAAACCACAGTATATGTTTCGTGGAATACTTGTTTATAAATCCTTGTTTGAAAAGCTCCGATTGTTTTTTTTTTTTAAATAAATAAAATTATCAAAACCTGTTCTTTTGGCCATCTATCGTCGCTTGTGGCGATGGTGCCGCCGCTGTCTTGATTGGCATCCTGGGTGTCGTAGATTGGTTTCGTTTTTTGTTCTCTCGACTTTTGATCTGAGTGATAATGACATCACTGGCCTGCCTTTTGATGATTGGAGTTTGGGTTCTTTGAGGCCTTTTAACCTTTCAAAGGATTTAGTCTCTGGGAACCTCCCTAGTAACATATAAGCAATTTTGGGCAACTTGAAAGATTGGACCTTTCTTTCGACGATTTCTCTGGGAGCATTCCAGAGGCCATGAGTTCCCTTCAAAGATTGCAGGCATGTATAATACGCAGGCTCCAAACAGAAAGGCCTATACATGAATCTTTTCAGAAATTATTCTATTTTTTCCGAAATCAATAAACAAAATATACTTTATGCTTGTTCGCTGGATTCAAACATCCTTTTGTTGTTATACAACGACGCGGCTGGCTTTTGCGGCTCGCTGCTGTTGTTCTTTCTTCCTGGTTTCGCCGGGTGTGATGTCAACATCGCTGTTCAACGACGAAGGCTACAATCAGCCGGTTGCCTGCGATCCGTGCGTCGCGATCGACGATGGCGGCACGATGGCGTCCTGAAGGGAAATAGCCGCACAAGCAGATTCTTACAGCTGTCATTTACAGTTTTGAATGGACCAGGTACGATACAAACAAAAAAAATAGCAATAATTTGCCACGAAAGGAGCCATAATTTGTTATTATTGGAGTTTGCATTATGAATCATGAATGTATGCATTTATTTATTTTGGCACAAATAACCATAATTTGCCTTTTAAGAAGATCCAAAATCTGAAAGCAAATAAAGATAAATCATACATCCTTTTTATTCCTTTTATGCAATAAGCATATCAGGCCTAATAGGCATACGTTATCTAATAAGCATGCCCCCAGATGATCATGATACTCTGCAACATCATCAGAATTGGACAGTCGCGATTCATCGCTAGAAATGAGTATCGGGCCACTGCCTTGATTAAAAGGAGACGATACGGTCTCTTCGGTCTCTTCTGAGCTAGCCTTATAGTTTCTTGCCTTATAGCGTTTCTTGCCTACTAACCAAGTTTTATTATTATTTATGGTAAATTGGTTGTGCATTCATGGGAATTGGTGTAACTCACCAAATAATTATGTTTCATTGTCCTTATAAATTGCCATCAAAATCAATATATATTGTTTATCCATATATATCTTCCCAATGGTGCATATATAAACCAATTGCCACACAAATTATTGCTTTGCGATCTGTATGGTACGGCTAAATGCTAATGGTCATACTTTAAATTGCTTTTAATATTTCTGCCAAGGCTATAAGGAATAATTATATTACTGCCAAGCAAATTTTAAATGATATGGAGCGGGATTATATTATGAGAGTTGGGGCTACTATTTCACCAGAAGTGAAAATTCGACAAGTTTTTTTTGGTGTCTAATTTCATCAACATACTATGAGGTATTAGCTCCATGCATGCAGGACATATTATTGCTCATATTATTTACGGCATTTTTTTTCGAAAAGCAAATTAAGCATTTTTGGAGGAAATATTCTTTTTGGGGACCTTCAAAAATTGAATATCCTGATCCACTACATATCACATACGCTAGTACATGATGCATTTCCCTATCTGCGTTCAATTTTTTTAGTATGCAACCCTTCTAGCTATATCCCATCATGAGAAATCAACGGTGATGTTGGTTGCATTATAAGATCTTTTCTCGGCATTAAGGGGAGATTTGAAATTTTCTAATTAATTAAATGCCGAGAAATTGATAAAAATCTTATGTACTAGCCTTATAGAACCAGAAGTTCAGTCATGGAACAAATTATCTGCTAGAAATCTCAATGAGTGACTAAGTCCATAGAAAATATTTTAAGAGTTGAAATCCCCATTATGCCAGAAGCATATATTGGTTTAAGAATTTACAAAACTAGATCTAGTATAGAAATTTCGTCACTCCAGAAATATAGAAATGTTATCATGAAGATATTCGTCTAGAAGGCGAAAACCCCCAGTAAAATTGTAGGTGCACCAAATAACTAAAATACTGGGAAGCGGAACAACCAAATCCAAATACTTTTGGGAAATGCCATATATTTGGTTGATACAAAATTGACATGTGTATAAAAGATATCTACAAAGCTGTTACAGTTGTCGATAACATATTTTGCCTCTATTGCTCATAAATACTTAAGTCTGGATCCAGAAATGAAAATAGTAGTATAACGCCTGCAGCGTGCTAACTGTTTTCATAGAAAATAGCAATTAAGGCATACAAATCAGAATTCGCTAATAAAAGGCAAGTGGAGGGTTTTCGCAGAGACCCAATATTAGCCATGACTTTATATTCCGCTATCCAATAAAACTAGCAGTAAATAAATTAGATATGTAGCTAACAGTTATAGTTATCACATGTTTATATGGGTAACTTGTTACTTATATTTAAAATCCTTGATGGATTTTCTCAAAATGTGATGAATGAAAATCACAAAATAAGAAGTATAAAAGTTAGTAAGTTACTAACTATGATCTTTCTTATAGTCAATAAATTGACTAAAGGTATTTTCTCCCCCATAACAAATTATGAAAACATATTATCATAAAAATGCCTAGTAATGTTAAATGTGATTAGGAAACTTAAATATTGTTTCCTCTTGAAAATATCCTAAATATATCCTCTAGTTCATCTTGAAAAATCCCTAATGGATTTATAATTCCCGAAATGAGGATTTATTTAAGTGTCATTATTTACTCTTTTATAGAGTTGCTAATGGAGTTATTATCCTCATATAGAAGGAATAATATGTACCATTATGTGCTCAATAAAGAGTTGATAATGGACTTATTTATTATCTTAGTCAATATTTATGGTGTAAACATCACTGAAATATATAAAGAGTTTGATGATGTTAAGTTATGAGATAAGATAACGAATAGCAAAATCAAGGTAAAAATACTCGTATTGATGCTTTTTGGCATGAAGTCATCATACTTGTTACAGATAAAAATGTATATAGTTTTTCATGATATAAAATACCTTGATCCACATGAACTCCGGAAGAGTGATAAAATATTTTTTCAGAAGGTTTGCTCTAGTGACAAGTTAGCAAATGTATACCTACAAAATATCCATAAGATTGATGTGTAGGTAAAGAAAAATTATTATATTTAGGGGGAGCAACAAAATATAAACTATAAATAATTTTATTTGTCCGGATGATCATGAGAAAATATGATAAATTCTAATGACAATCCTAAAAATTGTACCATATCCCTTCTCTACACCCTTTAGAAACAATGATTTTACAGGGAATGTAGAATTTGAAGATTGTTATCTTCAGGGGGAGACAGGAAGTACATTCATTCGAGTCAATCCCGTAGATTGGGTTTTAAAATGACTAATAGTTATACCTTTTGCAGCATATACATACCATGTGGTTTTTTTTAATGAGGTATGAGTATGATATATTAATGTGGAAGTTGTATATAATACTTAAGTAAACAAACCCCAAATATCCTGAAGATTATGCCTTGAAGGCTTATAATTGTGCTCTTTTTCCCCATAACTAAGTTTTTCCCACGAGGTTTTCTTAAGTTAAGGTTTTTAACGAGGCAATCAGTACAATATATGAGTTTACAAATATCATGTACTCTTTTCTTCAAACTAGGTTTTTCCCATGTGGTTTTCCTAGTGAAGTTTTTAACGAGGCATGAATATATTTAAATATACTATACCTTGTACTCTTTTCTTGTATAGGTTTTTCCCACAGGGTTTTCCTAGCAAGTTTTTAACGAGGCAAGATCATGGACAAATAATGTCCAAGGGGGAGTGTTGTAATTATATATTAATGGTGGTCATTATTTTGTAACGTTTGTAACAGACATATTAATGTCTCATTATGTATGCCATTATTACTCTATATTATATATGTGTGTAATCCTTTTGTAAGATGAAGCCATGGAAATGAAATGATATCACTCCCTTCTCTCCTTCTCTATTACTTTTCTTTCTACTACCTTTGATCAATGAGTTATTCTTTAAGCAATGAGCTAATGGGTTACAACAATAGGTATATATAATTACCAAACCCTAGCCTTCTACCTTCAAAATGCATTCTAAATTCTGATTTAACTATAAGCATTGATACTAATCATGTTATAAGTATTCTTATTATTTAATTATTTATTAATTGTTCTTACTGTTATAATATTTAATGAAGTATTATGACTTAATTATGTAAATGATTGTTAACTATTTATGAGATCAGATTATATAGGATGACAAGTAATAATGCAATTAAATTTATTCCTAAACAAGTTAACGAGAAGTCATGACTTGTTTTATTTTATTTTAAGTTTTAATGCTACCTGATGGAGATATGGGACCCTAGGGGTCCATTTTATTGGGAAAGTATTGACCCAAGTGGGGGTGGTGAAAGAAGGAGGTTGGACCAAGTCTTGTTGGGCTAGGAAGACAAGCACGCATGGTGGGCCAGGGTGAAGAACATGGACCGGAAGGCGGGAGGAAGTAGGTGCGGGAGGTAGGTACGTTGTGAGGGTGGAGGTAGGGGGGAGGTAGGTACGATATGAGGGGGGGAGGTAGGTACGGCGTGAGGGGGGAGGTAGGTACGACGTGAGGGGGGAGGTAGGTACGACATGAGGGGGGTAGGTACGGCGTGAGGGCGTAGGTAGGTACGATATGAGGGGGGGAGGTAGGTACGGCGTGAGGGGGGGGAGGTAGATACGGCGTGAGGGGGGTAGGTACGGCGTGAGGGGGTAGGTAGGTACGATATGATGGGGGGAGGTAGGTACGACGTGAGGGGGGGAGGTAGGTACGGCATGAGGGGGGTAGGTACGGCGTGAGGGGGGAGGTAGGTACGGATGAGGAGGGGAGGTTGGTGCGGCGTGCATGGTGGAGGATGCGGGAGACGCGGGGATAGTGGCGACGTGACATGCATGGCGACAAACAAGCGGAGTGGGGGAGGAGCAACGTGGGACACGCAGACGCCAGAGGAGGAGGGGGGCTTGCTATAAATAGGGGCCCTGGATCTTTGGCTAAGGGGCAACTCAGACACGATAAGCACTACAGTCTAGTGGTTTTGGTCTTGTACTCTCAATCCAGTCACCTGGGTTCGATTCCTACCAGTAGCATAGTTCGCTATAGCCCATCCTGTGGGCCTTGTTCTTTGTAATTCGGCTGCCATTCTGGGCCTGTACCTCGGGCTTTTGTACGCATTGTTCTGGGCCTAGCGCCCTACCCCCCCGTCCTATGTTCCTATACCCGGTTTATGGTGGACCCGGTCCCAATAAAACCATCATTACCTATTATGTTTGCATTGTGGTGATATATATGTAGTTATGTATTAGAAGTGCCTAGCTAAGTTTTCCCCCCAAAACTTAAGGACATTTTTGTAAAATCAAACTCATAAGTATTTTAGTAAAATCATTGATTTTATAAACTAACGATAAATATTTTCATAAAATTTATTAACTAACCATATATTTACACCAACTTCTCTCATATAAGATCTGACCATGGGAGATTGCTTCCTCTCAACTTCTGAACTCGGCAAAGTTGGCATTTGTTTCGTTGGATTCCGATCGAGCTCTAGAGCGAGTGAAAATCCTATGATTTCTTTCTTTAGATTCATGGTTATGCTGTCAGCTGTTCTTCATTTCATCTTGTTAACAATTTGTTTTGAAATTTTTTGTAGTTCCATTTGGCGATATATCTTTTCCTAGCGATAACAAAGCCCCTCTAACTCCTCTGAGAAAGCAACGGTGGTGCATGCACTAAGAATTGCACCGAATTACATAACGGGATTTTCGACGCGGAAGAACAAATGAAGATTGTTGAGTGCATTTACTAGTATCACTGTATCAGCAGACATCAATTGAGTCAGAAAGGGCTACTCAGAGGTATATAAGCAATGTTAACAGTCAATTGGATATTTCTAAAATGTGTATTGATGATTACTAAATTGGTGTTTAACTCTTTGCAGCTCGAACATATTTTGAGCCAAAGAAGTGGATGCGAAGCAAAAGGCGTGCAACGATTCAATTCAGTTGTTGTTGCGATTATGCAGTGGTAAAATTACTTATTTTTCAATTTCTAAGTTATTTCTTGTAGAGAATTTCAGTGTAGTTTCTTGCTGTAATTTGGTTTGGTTGTTGTCATAACTATGATGTAGTGAAATTACTTGCTATATCCTGTCTCTTAGTTATGTTTCTTTTGAAAAGTTTATCTTATACTCTACATATATATATATATATATATATATATATATATATATATATATATATATATATATATATATATATATATATATAGTAGAAGACATTTTTGGTCCTTTATAAAAAAATTTGCCATTTTATGGACAGAGTTATTGACGCGAGGACATTTTTGGTCCTCTGTCTATATTTCTGTTAGATAACCGTCTGTGAGAGGGGTAATTACGTCAATTTAGGCTATCTCCTTCTATCTATTATATCTATGTGTGTTTTTTTCTTCTCGGTCATAATTCGAAGGAGTCTGAGAGTCCAAGTTGCAGTTGTACAAAGAAATTGCCGGAGAATCGAAGCCGCCAAACAGGTTACTAATTGAATATATAGAAGGAGAATCGAAGCCGCCAAACACACATAGATATAATAGATAGAAGGAGATAGCCTAAATTGACGTAATTGGCCCTCTCTCATACGGTTATCTAACAGAAATATAGACGGAGGACCAAAAATGTCCTCGCCACAATAACTCTGTCCATAAAATGGCAAATTTTTTTATAAAGGACTAAAATTGTCCAAGCCACTATAAGTCTAGGACCAAAAATGTCTTTTACTCTCTCTCTCTCTCTCTCTCTCTATATATATATATATATATATATATATATATATATATATATATATATATATATATATATATATATATATATATATATATATATATATATATATATATATATAGGTAAGGGCTCCCGTGCATTTACTCCTTCCCGTGAATAATGAGGTTAAATCTAAGCCCCACGTAGCTCTTGATCGAACGAATCAGATTAATAGCAAAAATTAAGCGCGAATTGCTCATTAAGGGCATTTTTGTCCTTTTGATTATATTAAAAAAATCTGTTCTTCTTCTTTTTCGAGCGTTTTCAAAATTCACCATTGATTCCTAATCTTCGATATTTCCTAATCTCAGACGAATTTACGATCTCTACGGAATTGGCAATAAGATCTATTCTCTTCGTCATTCAATATCATATTCGTCAAAATAAACCCTAAACCCATCAAAAACGACAACCGAAGAACAATGGAAGAATTCGATCGAGGTATTACCCAAATTCTATCGCTTTTCTAGAATTAAATTTATCTGCATTTGTATTGGCATCATTCTTGTCTTAATTACACTCACATTAAGCATGCAACTAAACCACCGAATTACTGAGCTACTTTAATTAATCCGAGCCTAGAGCCTTACGCACGTAGATGATTAGGTAGCCGCATGATAATTTTTAAAAATGCACATATTACTGTTTGGCTCACACATGTTATCCGTTGAGCACACGCACATTAATTCCTTTCCAAACGCATGTTATATTAATGGACTCTCTGACGCACGTTAAGTAATGACATAATATTTTAACAAACACTCACGCATGTTAACTGTTAAACATGCGCACATTAACTATTACCCTGAAGCACGTTAATTTCTCACTTGCCGCACATACTCTAGTATTTTATAAATCTTCCATATTGACAATGATCTAATTAACTTAACGCATATTAAGTGTTCACATTACGCACGTAGAGGCTTGCAACAACACAATCATAACTTCATGCTTATATGTTACAGTTCCAATTGACATTCAATCTATCAACAACCCCAGTTTGAGTCCCAGCATCAGCAGCAATGGTCATACATTGACCATATCTCCTGGAATGACACAATATTGGACTCCTCACTGTGAATATGAAATCCAACCAGCAGTAGACATGATTTTTAAAACATCGGATGCTGGTATTGAATTCTACAAACATTATGATTCCAAAGTTGGGTTTGACACGAGGTCTAGTTCTGTCGTTACAGCACGTGACGGGACAAAAATTCAAAAGCAAATCCTTTGCGACAGAGAAGGATTTAAGAATACAGGAGCTCAACATTGTCACTCACAGTCAAGTGCAGATGCAGGGGAAGGTCCTTCCCGTCCAAAGCGGCGAAGGGTTTCAAACAGAACTGGTTGTAGAGCTAGGATTATGTTTAAGTACATTGGAGCAGCTGGGTACCAAGTTACAACTTTTATTGAAAAACATAATCACAGCATGTCTTCGGTTCTGGCAAGACAGTTTCTAAAGGGAAATAGAAACATCTCCAGTGTTCACCAGAAGTTTATACTCGATTGTGCTAAAGCAAATATTGGAGCAACAAAATCACATGGTTTATACAGTCAGATTGTGGGGGATTACTTTGAAGTTGGAGCAAATGTAGTGGACTTTAAAAATGTCAAAAGGGATCTTAGAGCATACATATTGGGAGCTGATGCTCAAATACTGGTGCATAATCTTATTAAGAAACAAGAGATGTGCCCTGCATTTGCTTTTGACTACGAAGTTGATGAAGATGAGCAGATGAGCAGACTGTTTTGGGCAGATCCAATGTCAAAAAAGAATTTTGCTGTAGTTGGAGATGTTGTCTCTTTTGATGCCACGTACTCAACAAACAGGTATATATTATTCTATTCACATTCTTGCGTACGTTTCATTAATTAATTAATACACATTTAGCATTGCCTGATCTGTTGAGCCATGTTACGATTTAGACACGTTCACTGTTTTATTGATAAAGAGTTGAAATATAAATAAGCGCACATTGTCGTTTTATACCACGCATTTTAAACGCTACTGTCTCGCATATTAATGCGGAATTTCCAGAATTAGACCTCAATTACATACGTGTGCTATTTTAATACTTAATGTGCGTTACTCTAATTCTCTAAGTGCGGCAGTTTGACACCTACATACTGTGACGACGCTTTTTGTCTTGTAGGTACGATCTGGTTTTTACACCCTTCACCGGAGTTGATAACCATAAAAAATGTATAACATTCGGTGCTGGACTACTGTTGAAAGAAGACATTGAGTCTTATGTTTGGCTCTTTGAAAAATTTAAAAAGGCAATGGGTATGGAACCAAGAATAATTGTCACCGATCAAGATCCAGCTATGAAAGTGGCGATTCCAACAGTTTTCAAGCAAGCCAGGCATCGTTATTGCATGTGGCACATCATGTGTAAAGTTGGGGAAAAGGTGGGTCCTACGCTGAACAAGGATGAGGAATTCAGGAACAAACTGAACTCAATCGTTTGGACGTCATCTTTGGAACCTCCTGATTTTGAGAAGCAGTGGAGAGAGCTCATGGAAAAGTACAACTTGGTCGAGCACAATTGGTTTACAACTATGTTTGAGGCTAGAAAGCATTTGATCCCAACGTATTTAGAGATAGCTTTATGGGGGGTTTACTCAGAACAACTTCTCGTTCCGAAAGTGAGAACTACACGTACAGCCGTTTTACTGGTCCCCAATCAAGCCTAGTTGAATTCATGATGAACTTTGACAGTGCTCTTAAATCACAACGTAACACAAATGCAAAGCTCAACAGTGACAACAAAGGCTACAATCCAGATATGAAGACGCCTCTGGGGATTGAAAAGCACGCTTCAATCGTCTACACCATTACTGTTTTCTATCAAGTTCAGGATGAAATATGTGCCTCCTGTTTCAAATGTATGGTGTTGAGTGTTAGAGAAGACGGTGGAATGTTGCACTATGATATTATGGATGGAAAGAACAAAAGATTTACTGTGGTGCACAATGTAAATGACCATGAGGCCAAATGCAGTTGCAAGATGTTTGAGATGGTTGGACTGTTGTGTAGACACATATTTGTGGTCTTTAGAGACCTTGAAAGGATCCCTCTGAAGTACGTGGTTAATCAGTGGACTAAGGATGCATCTTTAAAAGCTACATTTGAAATAGATGGTGTCATTTATGATCAGAATGGACCAAAGGATGAAATGAAGATGTTGCTGAACAAAGTGTGGTTTGATATACACTGCTGTATGGATCTGGCAGGTTCAAACATGGAGCAATTGACTGCATTTTCCCAAGTGATTAATGAACAGAAACAGCTGCTACTGTCAGGAAAGGAGAAATTGTCCCCTCAGCACAGTAGGAGAACTGTTATAGAATCATATTGTGGATCAACAGAAATTTCAGAGATCAACATACTTCCACCGAAACAGGCAAGGAACAAGGGCAGCGGCAAGCGCATCAAAAGCAGCAAGGAGTTGGCAATGGAAAAACAAGAGAGCAGGAAGTGCAATTTTTATGGTGTTAGAGGAGATCACCATGACACCAGGACTTGCCCACTTAACCCCAAGAATAAGGACAAGCAAAAGGGTAAGAAAAAGGCATAGCAGACTATTTTTTCTATGCCTTTACAGTCAAGGACGAAAATGAATAGCAAATATGAAACACATATACTTAGTTTTTTTTTTTGAATGTGACATATACTTAGTTAATTAACTCATTTCAGAACGCTTTTTACAGTTGAGATACTTGAATTTAATGTCCAGCCATTACTAGTTTTTGTTTTTATCACTGATTTGTGTTTACCAATCACTGCTACTAGCTTAATGTGCGTGTTATTACTACTTTACCTGCGTGCAGTTAATTCTTAATATGCGTTGATTACACTTTTAACGTGCGCTACATTAAACTTTAATATGCGTAGTACAGAAACAGAACGTGCGTTGGATTATGTATAGAAACTTTGGTCCGTGGTAAACGCCAACGTCTTTACATGCGTCGATTAACATTTAACTTGCGCGACATTAAAGCTTAATATGCATTCAAAGGAAATATTTAACAATTTCTTTCTCTAATATGCATTTAATTATTAGTTAATATACCATACGTTAAAGATAATTCTAATATGCGCGACTAGAAAACTTAAAGTGCGTTTATTTGATTATGAAATAATTTGCAGACAAAATGATACATACATAAACGATTGCACATATTTATTTCTTCTAGTACTTTGAAGACATCTCTTCTGGTTCCGGCAGCATCCGACACATCACCAGCCACTCGCAAATGCTCAACTCTCAGCCTTTGGATGTTGTTTGGAAACTAGATGATGAGCTTGAAGCTGAGAATGACAAATGATTCTTCAGGTTTAGAATGTGTTGTTTTTGTAGTTAGTTACAATCACTACAAGCTGGAGGGTGAGGAAGATGAAAATGACAGATAAGATGAGGAATAAATGAAGAGGATTCTTCTGTACGTGCAGAAAAGTGAGACATAGCCATTTCAATAACCTGATGCTCAGTTATGTGTTGTTCCTTCTAATTTATATATAGGTGAATAACTTGGTCACATGCACTGATATGAGATTTGAATGTTGCGTGATTTACAGACACATTAGATTTTTCAAGATTTCCTTTAATGGGTGCGTTTTTTAAGGCATTGAATGGACATTCAATGTTATCCGTTTCCCCAACCAACTACAAATGCCTTAAAGTTCTGACATCAAATATCTTTGAATATTAAGTGGATTGGTATAAAAGACTTAATGTGCTTTGCTTTGCTCTGTTACATGCGCGAGCTACAAGAACAACATGCGTGTAAATATAAATTTAATAAATTTGCATCGAAAAAAATGATTTTTTAAAGCCAAAAGTTTAATGTGCGTCGTGAAAAAATTAAAGTGCGTGAAATATCAGTCTAATATGCGATTATTATACATTATTAATAAATCCAAAATTTAATATGCGTCGGGAAACCAATTAAATTGCGCGAAATATCATTATAAGATGCGTTTATTATATTTTATTAATAAATACAAAAGTTTAATGTGCGTCGGGAAACCAATTAAAGTGCGCGGAATATCATTCTAGGATGCGTTTATTATATTTTATTAAAAAAAAAAGCAAGTAAAATATAATTTTTAATTTTTTTCCCGTTTTTAATTTATCTTTGATATCTTTGAAAGAATATGCGTTAATGATAACATAATAGATCACTTAATAGACATAAAATGATAATATATAAATTTTATTAATTCATAAATTGTATGACGAAAATAACAACAAGTAGTCATCACATAATACACATAAAAATCTTGATATTTTCGTCATTATTCATCCTTATTACGTAGCCTCCTCGTTGATTACATCCTCATTAGCCAAGTTTCCAACAGGAGCGTCAGGCACCTGTTCATCCATCAAATCGTGAAAGTTACTAAACTGTAAATACGTCAATAAAATTATATATTAAAAAAAAAAAGGAAAAACAATGTAAGTATGCAGTAAAACACCTCTTGATCGAAATCATAATCTTCTCGGTCATAAGCATATGTTGGGAACTCAGCATCTTCTTTCGATAATACTGCACGAGTTCTCTCACAGATCACCTGCATATACCAGAGAGCAGATGTCTTGTTTCGGTAGGTATTAAGGGCCACGTCAAACCTATTTATTATATAAGCTTTTCCTTCCACAAATCTGTTGAGGTACCTTTGCACAAACAACTGTGGAATGTGCATATGAATAAAAGTCCCCTGAAATTATTTTTTTAAAAAATACATCAAAAGTAAATTTTATAAATATAAAATATTAAGATTTATATTACACTAAAAAAAAATAATACCTCTACATCGTGAAGTACACACTCTATAGATCTGATTGTTTCAGAACCTTTTGTTTCAGGCAATCGAACGACTCGAACCCTCATCGTATTCCAGCGCAATGCTATGCGAAGTTGGTTTCCAACTATTTCGGAGTGGAGTTCGGCTGCCATTGAAACACTCTGTACAAGGTAGAGTACAAAAGAAAAAATGTGTTTGAAGGTGACAGGTTTGAATCGAGCATAATGGTGGATTTAAATACCAAATTCTTAAACGAATGCGACTGTTCGTAGGTGACAACTTTTAGTCTACCAGAATGCGACTGTTAATATGACAATGTTCGATGGCGTATTCTTAAATGAATATTCGTCAATTTATTCACTAATATACGCACCTTAAAGACGTTATTATGCGTGTCTTTCATTCTTCGTGTGCACGAGATTGTACACTCAGTGACTTAGACCCAATATGGGAAATATAAAAATTGCTGACATCGAAATTGACTTGTCACTTATTTCCAATAACACGTGCATATCTAACTGACTTTATCATTCTAATATGCATTATATTTACACTTAACATGCATGTGAATATACGTAAAATCTAACATGTGCATCAAATATAATTCAAAAACAATATTTGAATGTGCGTGGGAGGATTTTAAAACAAAAATGCTTCAATTCATTCATTAACCTACGCATGTTAACACTTCATTATGCGTATCTATCATTCTTAGTGTGCATGAGATTGTACACTCACTGACTTAGAGCCAAAAGTTTAATGTGCTTCGGGAAACCAATTAAAGTGCTTGAAATATCAGTCTAATATGCGTTTATTATATTTTATTAAACCAAAAACAAGTAAAATATAATAAAAAGTTCAAGTTTTTATGTGGGTTCAATCTTGGGCGAAATCAATTTAATCAAAGACTTCTACCATTTCGCCAGTGGGCTCATCCATTACTTTGATTATAATATATTAGTAATAACAACAACAGAGGCAGACATGAGAGGTTGTTTTTAATATGCGTAACGCGTAGACGTAATGTGCGTTGGTTTATTTATATAATCTTTGGTCCGTGGTAAACACCAAAGTCTTCAGATGCGTTCATTACCGGGCAAAAATGTTTTAAGTCTTTTGGGGGGGATTCGATCATAGGTAAATTCAATACATTCAAAGACTTCTACCATTTCGCCAATCAATTCATCTATTTATTCTTTGTATACCAAAATATATGTTGCCTACTTACTAATCACGAATCTAAAAGGAAGCAATATGCCTCTATTTAATTCTTAATATGCGTTGATTTACACTTTAAAGGTGCACTACACTGCGACTTATATATGCGTAACACGTAAGCGTAATGTGCGTTGGTCTATGTTTAAAAACGTAATTATTCAGACATTGCGTTGAAAATTAGAATAGTATGCGCGATTGCAAAACTTAAAGTGCGTTTGTTGGTCAAAGTACCTGCTAGGTCCCTGTACTGTAGCATTTTGTTCAATTTAGTCCCTGTACCTTAATTTTGGTCAATCTAATCCCTGTACTTTAAGATTTAGAACAATTAAGGACAATACTTAACACCGTTAACTTTTTCCGTTAGGTTTGTCCAGGTGGCGTTGGATTTGCCATGTCAGATTGTGTGATGTGGCATTGCCATTTCAAATTTTGTGATATGGCATAAAACAATATATTTTTCGAACTAAAAAAGAGTAAGTTTCAAACCCATGACCTTTAGGCTAAAGAATGAAGACTCCACCACCAAGCTATACATTAATCTTGTTATATAATAGTTAAAATTTGTAATAATAGTAATTTGTCTACACGTGGGCACCAAGTTCTCCACCACCAAGCTGTCCAGCAAAACGCATAATTTTTTTCACTAGAAAGCAAAATAATAATAATAACAGACATGGCAAATCCAACACCATGTGGACAAACTTAACGATGTTAAGTATTGTCCTTAATTGTTCTAAATCTTAAAGTACAGGGATTAAATTAAACAAAATTAAGGTACAGGGACTAAATTGAACAAAATGCTATAGTACAGGGACCTAGCATGTACTTTGACCGCCTTTGTTTGATTATGAAATAATTTGCATATAAAATGACACATACATGCTTTGAATTTAACATGCGCGACATATCAATTTAAAATGCGTGATATTGGAACACAATGAGCGTTGGTTTCAATATTAATAAAAATAATAATTTTCAATCTAATACATTAGTATTTGTAAACGTAAATACACATTGAAACAACACCAATAACATTCAGTGCAACTTTTCTAGTGCTTTGAAGACATTTCTTCTAGTTCCGGCATCATCCGACATGCTGCCAGCCTACCACAATGCTCAACTCTAAGCCTTGGATGATGTTTGATGAGATTGCAGCTGAGCATACAAGCTCGGTTTGGACATGAGCAAGGAGTGTGGATGCATGTAGGCTCGTGGTCTCTAAGTGACAGGATAATAGGGCTGGCACCTGATCCGAATCACAAATGGGCATTGACTCAGCATCGCATGGGAACCCAACGGGCAGAACTCCAACGGTTAGGAATTCCAACAGGTGCCACCTTACTATCATTGAAGCCAGCATTGAAGCCCCAATTGGTGAGAGAGAATTAAAGGCTAGGCTCCCCATTTATGTCTCATGTTGTTACCGTTAGGACTCTAAGTATAAATGGGGCTCTCCTCAGCTAGCAGAGGACAGACTGTACTTTCCATACTGAAACTAAGGCAATACAACTATTGTCACTTTCTTGTTCATTACTTTATAATATATTTCCGGTAACATATTTACCGTCACTAAGCTTGCTGTATATGATAGATTCCTGGTAGCCGTAGCTGTTATTTGGGATGTCGGATGCTCAACTCTCTCAGCCTTGAATGATGTTTGGTTGCAGCATGACGAGCTCGCAGCTGAGCATGCCGAGTGTCCTTTCAGGTTTAGAATGTGTTGTCTTTGTACTTATTTACAATCACTACAATCTGGAGGGCGAGGGGGATGAAGAGGACATGCAAGATGAGGAATGAAAGAAGATGGCTCTCCTGTACGTGCGGACACGTAAGAGGTAGCCATTTCAATGAAAACTGATGCTCGGTTGTGTGTTGTTCTTTCCAATTTATAGGCGAATAACTTGGTGATTTGAAGATTTCAATGTTGCGTGAATGGGCGCATTTTTTGAGGCATTGAATGACCATTCAATGTTATCCGTCTACCCAACTACAAATGCCTTAAAGTTCTGACATCAAATATCTTTGAATATTACGTGGATTGTTATAAAACACTTAATGTGCTTTCCTTTGCTCTGTTACATGCGCGGACGACAAGAACAATATGCGTCGGGAAACCAATTAAAGAGCGTGAAATATCACCTTAACATGCGTTTGTTATATTTTTTTAAACGGAAAACAAATAAAATATAATAAAAAAACCAAGCCTTTATAGGGGTTCGATCCTAGGCAGACTCAATTTGATCAAAGACTTCTACCATTTTGCCAATGGGCTCATCCATTATATTAATTATATTAAAAAACT